GATTGAACACAGTAGCCAATAGTGATCGGATTCTCGTATTACAACAGGGAGAGGTTGCCTACTTTGATGTGCCTAGTAATATAAATCTAACTTAATACACTCGTGAAAGAACATGCAACTATATAAGAGCCAGTCCATCTAAGCCACGACTGAATCTGCTCAATCGAACTCGTCAGGTTCTGGTCGATTTGATATGCGTAGCAGAGGAATGAGTTTTATCAACTCTAGCGAAAACCACTTGAAAAATGTCTCTGATATTTTATCAGTAAAGATGTACCCATTTCGATTCTGTCCGATTACAATTTTAATTTTTTATTCAAACAACTGAGAATCACTATAAAACTGACTAGAGGCTTTGTGAAAATGATCGACAGTTATGTTAACTAGGCAGAGGATCATGAATACAACATGCCTTTCAATGGCTTCAGAAGCTCCAATGAACGTCCGTATAACCTCACGATGGACTTAATCGAGACGAAATGAAAACTGGCGATGGGCTCTCGATCTTCATGAATAAATGGGATAACTAGTTACCCACTTTACACCTTCTGTAGAACTTTTCAATCCCGGCGCGCATTCAGAGGCGGCAATCAATGGAAAATCGCTACAGCAGGTGTAAAGTGAGTAACTAATTAGTACATTGTATAGTATCTCCAGACAAAGTTCTATTGAAATCCGTGTGATACTGCCATCAGCTGAGTGCAGTACGAAGGGAGTAACACAGAAATCTTCTTTGACTGCCAAGAATACATATGGTCGTGCAGAGCATGTTTAGTGAGAGCATATAGATTTAGTCAGCCGGAAGAGGTACAAAAAATGGGTTAAGTTGTATGAGAAGAGTTGGATCTACTCCTTTGGCTGTTTGTATACGTCGGCAGGAAGAATACTATTCATGGCCAATAACCGATCGATCATCCATGCGGGAAGCATGGAAAGTACAAAGAAGATATTCGACATCCATCCAGGTCGATAGCGAATGCGCGGGACAGTGTTTGTTACAGCATGTCGAAGTGCTTGCACAACTTTCTGTGGATTTTCATTATGTTTGATGAGAGCATTGTTCAGTTGTTCAAGTTCATTTCGAGTAAAATCTTCGCCCCATCGCTCTTTGACATCGCTAGAGAGTCCGATCCACAAATCGCTTAGTAAACGATTTTGTCCCTCAGAAAGTGGAGTTTGCATGGGGCCCGGTTCGATAATGCTGACACGCAAACTCCATGCGCTCATTTCCCGACGAAGACAATCGGAAAACGATTCCAAAGCATATTTAGACGCACAATAGCTCATCGAGGCTCGAAAAGTGACGAAGCCGGCCATTGAACAGACGTTGACCACTCGCGAATCTCGCTTAGCTATGAGCAATGGCAAGAACTTTTTTGTCATGGCAACATGTCCGAAAAAGTTCACATCCATCGTTTTGCGTATTGATTCTATGGAGATCCAATCGATGAAGCCTGGCATGATAATGCCAGCGTTGTTGACGAGTGCATGAAGTGTGCTCGTTTTGTCTTTGACTATCTCGTAGGCGGCGTCGATGTCTGCTCGTCGAGTAATGTCAAGGCAAAAGACAGTAGCCCGTGATGAGAGACAATCGGCAAGTGAAATTTGATTGTCTGGATTGTAGATACCGGCCAATACATTGAAGCCTTGTTTGTCGAGTTCAATGGCCAATCCATGGCCGAAGCCCGTGTCACAACCACTGATAAGCACATACTTGCCACGAGGATCAATATCGGACGATGGGAAAAGCTGTTGATACAAGCGATGTAGTACGTAAAGTACGAATATCAAACCGATAATTACAAACATGAATGTCGTCTGTGTGAACTGAAGGCTAGTTAAAAATGAAGAAAAAATGAATGTTGCTATCGACAGTAACGAAGACGAATCCCTCAGGACAACGATCACGCGCAAGCAACCCGAAACGACGTTTCTTCTGTTTTTTTCATCCTTCTCTAGAGCTGTGACAGCCACGTGCTCTCACATCCTATGCCCTCATAAATAATATATTTCTTTCTTTCTGTATTCTGTATTTCTTTTTTTATTCATGTTTTCTGCTTTTCCTTGCTGGTGGACATCAGTAGCAGAGTGAGGGTGTAGATGAGTTAGAATCGATTCAAAAGAGTTTAGACATCAGTAATCATGTTCCCTATCCACGGATATGCATAGGGTCTTACGAGGGAACCTCTCGAGGTGATAAAAAGCTTTTGGATTCGGACTGCTTTTATCTTGTAGATCCTAGTGAGTAGTGAAATACCCTAAGTTGGTTCTTGCCCTTATTGCTTTGGGAGGGAGTTATGACCCATTTACTGGTTTTTTGACCTATGGCACCATGCGAGTAGCAGTAGTAAATGAGTGATTTTGGATCTGAAATTTTTCCCATGAAGAGGTCTTAGGAATACTAGAATATCCTGAAAATTTAAAACAAAACGAATGCATCCTTCCTGAGAAAATGAATCTTCAAAAAACGATTGTTTTCCAAGATAACTTTTAATTTGATGGGAGCAATAGTCGTTTTTTGAAGATTCATTTTCTCAGGAAGGATGCATTTGTTTTGATTGA